AATGTGTTCTGGGAATCCTGGGAGTGTGTTCTGGGAAGCCTGGGAGTGTGTTCTGGGAATCCTGGGAATGTGTTCTGGGAATCCTGGGAATGTGTTCTGGGAATCCTGGGAGTGTGTTCTGGGAAGCCTGGGAGTGTGTTCTGGGAATGTCTTTTGAGAATGTCTTCTAGGAATGTGTTCTGGGAATCCTGGGAGTGTGTTCTGGGAATTCCGGGAATGTGTTCTGGGAATCCTGGGAATGTCTTCTGGGTACTCTGGGCTCATGCTTCTGGTGTGGCATACTCTACTGTGGCTGATTTCATACACAATGTCCGTAACGAACTCACTCCCAAGCAGATCTGGTCGACTGTGCAGATATATGTACGCTCTTAAAGGATGATACCTTGGCTCTTACGGTACAAATCATGAGTGCTAAGATTCTACTCAACTTGGTGAAGAGAATCATGAGATTGCCCAGTAAGCTTGAAGACAGGCATTTGTTCATGATGCTAATCTGGCTTCTTGGATTTCGTCTACAAGGATCATTGAGCCCGGCGTGAATAATAACATGTCTTTATTCAAGTTGATGTTTACTGCCTGAATTAGTTGGATATGCTGGTTGTTCCCTTGATGATGTGTTTCCCCAAATCGAACAGTAGTGTCGAAGAACGATTAGGAAAGAGCGAAAAGTATCACAATCAAGCAAAAACATTCAGTGAAAATTCCTCGCAGAGTCAAGGTTTTATGGACATACAATACGTTGTATTTTAGTGGCTTGTATTTCGTAGCACACTCGAATGGATTGTAGAAACAGTATTTTGAATGTCCTTTTGGATGAGTCTGGATAAAAAAAAACTTTTGTCATCATGGTCTAAGCGTGCTTCCCCCTCCTAATTCTGCCTTCTTATCAAGTTGAGTGTTTTCGGGTGACATTGACCAGAAAGGAATGTCTAACTGATATAAGCTTTTCAGACTTTATACTGCGAAGTGGTTCAAGGTGAATCATAGCTAGAATTGATTACTCTCTAACAGAATTCTACAATGCCTCCACCATCAGCACCTGAATTAGCAAGTTTCGATGTGTAGTCGCCAACATATGGCATATAAATTAATCACCTGGGGTGCTGTTCCGATGACAATTTTCGAAATGCACTCGCAAACGCCCTGATAAGTACTTGGCAACCCACCGGTCGTTTCGTTCGACATCTGTTGGATCCTTATTTGTGTCCGCTTGCTTTTCAAATTTCGTGCCTATGTTCTTGTGTGCCTGTCCCAAGGTCTCCACTTCGTATACCTTATAATTCAGACAAGACTGAAGGCTCTCTTTCAATTGGAGCCGGTGCAGCTAATGCCCGTCTATTAGTTTGGACCACCCGTTCATTCAATGATGTCAGTGTTTTGTCGGGCTCGTCATCAGTACGACTTGGCATGAAAGTAAATCCTTCCTGTGGATTTTCAAGGACCGTCGTAGGCGCACCGGAAAATCAATAAATGATTGTTCTTCCAGCCATAAAACCCCATCTCTGGTTAATCCATCCAGGGTCATAAGCTGTTAGAAGAAAAAGAAAACTTCTTCCAGGGCCCGCGCCGACGTCTCCGCATTCAGCTACGTTACCGTGAAACTCCATATCCAAGTTCTGGAATATTAACCAGATTCCCTTTCCCTCGACCCTCTGAAAAGTAAGGGAGTTAAATCGGGTTTAACTTAGAGGTTAAGATCGACTAGCCCATGCTCATCTGCTGTTGACATGGAACCTTTCCCCACTTCAGTCAAAGCTCTCATTTGAATATTTTCTACTACCACCAAGATCTGCACTAGAGGCAGTTCGACCCAGATTCACATCCAAGGCTTCGTCACTACCTCCACGCCTGCCTACTCCAAACAACAATGTATTGTTTGGGCGAAGTATAAGTAACACGCTTAAGCGCCATCCATTTTCAGGGCTAGTTCATTCGGCCGGTGAGTTGTTACACACTCCTTAGCGGATTCCGACTTCCATGGCCATCGTCCGGCTGTCTAGATGAACTAACACCTTTTGTGGTGTCTGATGAGCGTGTATTCTGGCACTTTAACTTTACGTTCGGTTCATCTCGCATCGCCAGTTCTGCTTACCAAAAATGACCCACTAAAAGCTCTACATTCATGCCTACCTTTAATTCAAAACGGAAAGCTTCTTACATATTTAAAGTTTGAGAATACGCTAAAACTATTTCGCCCCGAGACGTCTAATCATTCGCTTTACCTCATAAAACTGTTTGGAACGAACGATTTCAGTCTCAAACGCAAAATTCACTACATTTTGATAAAACACATTCGAAAATCAAATAAAGTGCAAGAGGCTGATGTTAAACTTGCAACTAAATGGTATAGCTTCAAAATTGATGATCAAGTAGCTATGGATATGGGCTTCTCAAATGATCAATACCGGAGGAAGAATCACCTGAAGAAGGTGCGGCAAGTCTGTGGAACAGTGGTCCAAATTTAACTGATGACAATATGGGCATTGATTCCGATGAGCCACCTTCAGGAAATGTGATTGACCCAATGAGAGTCGAGGATATATTCAGCATAGAGGATCTCTCGTCTATATCCGTGTCTTCAGTTTCAGCGAATTCAGATCTCCTCAAAGACGCAAGGTATCTTTTCCGCACATTAATGACCTATCTCAAATCCGTTGCTTTTGGTCCCAAGAATTAATTGGGTGAATCCAGCTATGAAAGGAAAAGAAAAGTGAAAGTATTGGACATATACTCCAAAAGGTTTCCAGATACCACATCGTGTCGAAACTGGGGCCGTCCCCTCCTGTTAATCACGACCTGGATGATTTTCTTTCTCGTGGATTCCCCTATTAAATAAATCGTCCTCTTGATACCCATCTTCCATTGCTCGAATTGTTCAACCACCATATTGACGAGCGAGTGTTAGATGCCTGTCCATTGGAGAGCGGCCAGGGAATGTATATTTGTGCGGCATTGACTGGGAACACTTGAGAGATTGCTCGATGACGATTATAGAGCGCTTGCAAATGCACGTTTACTGGAGCTTCCACTTACGGTGCTTTTGATTATAGTGTTGGTAATGGAGCTTTATTATGGAGCTTTTGATTATAGTGTTTATGAAGCTCTTGATGATGGTGCTTTCGATCATGGTGCATATAATTATAGTGCTTTTACTGACAGTGTACTACTTAGAATGCTTCCACTCGTAGTGATTCTATTCATATTGCTTCTATAAATAGTGCCTTTGATTATAGTGCTTTCACTAATAGTGTTTTTGAATACAGTATTTCTGCTTATGTTGCTTCTACTTATGTTGCTTCTGCTGAAAGTGCTTCTACTTATGAATCTTCTGCTAATAGTGCTTCCAATCATATTGTTTCTACTTATATTATTTCTACTCATAGTGCTTCTACTTATATTGCTTGTACTGAGAGTGACTCTACCAGTAGTGCCTTTAATCATAATGCGTTTAATGACGTGCTTCTAAACATATTGCCCTTACTAATAGTGACTCTACTAGTAGTGCTAATAATTAGAGTGCTTTTGATTGCATTGCTTTTGATTATGGTACTTTTGATGATGGTGCTTTTAAATATAGTGCTCTTGGTGATGGTGATTTTGGTTATGGTGCTTTTGAATATAGTGCGTTTGAGTATAGTGCTTTTAGAAACAGTGATTCTACTCATAGTGTTTCTAGGAGTAGTGTTTTTAATAATAGCGCTTTTAATAATAGTGCGTTTACTGATGGTGCTTCTTCTAATACTGCTTTCAATTACGTGCTTCTAATCATATGGCTTCCAATCATGTTGCTTATACTAATAGTGTCTCTACTAGTAGTGGTTTGATTAATGTGCTTCTAATAATAGTGCTTCCAATCAGAGTGCTTCTACTTATATCTCTACTACTAATAGTGCTTTCAATCACATTGCATCTACTAAGAGTGCTTCTTTTCATAGTGCTTATACTTTTATTGATTCTGCTTATATTACTTCTACTCATAGTGCCTCTACTCATATCCTTTGTACTAAAAGTGCCTTTGTTTTTAGCGCTTCCAATAATAGCGCTTCTACTCATGGTGCTTCTGCTTGTATTGCTTCTATGGATATTGCTTCTATGGATATTGCTTCTACTTATATTGCTTCTTCTCATGGCGCTTCTATCTCAATGTTCTTCTCATATTGCCAATAGAGTGAGCGTGTAGCGTCTGACTCCAATATACTTGATAAGCATGCCTCAAAGAGTGCCGAAGGGACGTCCAGTGGAGATTGCTCACTACTAGCAGATGTGATTTGATCATTGAATGATTATCCAAGAAAGGCAAACAACGAGTGCACCAAATAGTGCTTTACAGAAGGGGGCGTGACATAAACGTGCATGGTATAGGAGTACAAGACATGACAAACTTGCATGGTATGGGAGTACAAGACATGACAAACGTGCATAGTATAGGAGTACAAGACATGACATAGAGTGTATTATAAAGTATGATATGGCGCCTTGGAACTCCACATTATTGCTCAGTGACGCGGGCTTGACCCATAGTGCCAAAGCCTAGATTGAGTAAACTAGTAGTAGACCAGCATTGCTTCATGGCCGCTTGTCAACAAATAACCACCTTCATCAAAATGCCCACATCAAACCTTGGGATTCGTGCTTTTGGATCCGAACCGGCATTTTCTGTAGATTTACAACTCAAGAAGCGTCGACAATCATCACTTTTCGTGCTTTCGTGCTTTCGTGCTTTCGTGCTTTCGTGCTTTCGTGCTTTCGTGCTTTCGTGCTTTCGTGCTTTCGTGCTTTCGTGCTTTCGTGCTTTCGTTCTTTCGTTCTTTCGTTCTTTCGTGCATTATCGTGCTGGTTCAAAACCACCAGTTGGCGAATCTTCGCCACATGATATGGGCGCTTTTACGGCCCAAAAACTTGCCCAAGAGCGGAAAAATCACAAACCTTACAAGCTCAGTGATTTGCTCTATACTAGCCTCCCAGTGCCGTTGCGCCAGGAGATCGTACTCAGAGTCCGACTCAGAGTAATAGTCCGAATCTTCCTCCATATGGTACTCGTAATGTGGATTCGATTCGTGTAGTAGGCCAGCAGACATTTCAAAAACTGGTCAGGCTCAGGTGGGTTTAGGTTTTTAAGATGGGACGGGTTGCTGGAGAAGAGGCAACTCAAGATGGAGTAAACGATATCTCACAAAGGTCCTAGTGAATCGATATTGTCTGGGGCAGGGTCGGACGGCGGGTCACGTGACCTGGAATTGTCCTATGTTTAAAACAGGTCAGGGCAGGCGTCAAGCCCAAGAGTTATGCTGGGTCATTGTTATTGACTCTGAATTCCTTTTTTGTGGACTCTGGCTTTCATTTCTGGATGGCAAAGAATCCTCTCATGACTCTGTCTTTTGAGGTAGTTCAAAGAGGCCAAAGAACAATATAGACTTGGTAGTTAGGGATTACTGAAGACGTGCGGAAAAACGCGTGAGGTCTTGAAGAATACAATCTCGTGCTGCTGATGGTCTTGTTTCGAGCTGGACCATCTGCTGTGGAGTTCTAGCGTTGTTTACTATATAGGATCTCCAGTGGAATCATGAGTTTATATCTATCAGACCGGTGCTTTGCTAATTTCGGAAGTAAGTGCAGGGCCATAAACTGAACATGAGTCAGAAGGCTACAGGAGACATCGGAAACCAGGGATATGGAACAAGCATACGTGCGTATGCGAGACAGCTTGGGCTGGGTATTCAAGCCAAAGATTTAGTGAGAAATGGAGTAGCAACTGTGTGAGTATTAGAGGGGGAGAATATCGATGAGATGAAAGTGGCGAATGTGAAGGAAAGAAAGAGGGAGGAATACAGTACTATCATCACAGCAAAGTATTATCATTGAGTACATCACCATTTTTATGATATAGTATTTATCATAAAAACACATCATAATACATCGCCATCATAATGCAGTCTTCATCATAGTTCATAACCATCTTTGGATTATACCGTCATTAGAATACACCATCATTATGATACACCAGCACTATGATACACCATCATTGGAATACACCATCATTAGAATACACCATCATTAGAATACACCATCATTATGATATACCATCATTAGAATACACCAGCATTATAATACACCATCATTACAATACACCATCATTGGAATAAATCATCATTACAATACACCATCATTGGAATAAACCATCATTATAATACACCACCATTATAATTCATCCTCATCACAACACTATCATTAAGATACACCACTGTCACGATAAAGCGCCACCGCACCATCTCTTAACATATTGTTGAGGAATAGAGGACTAACTTTGTGAGTATTAGAGAAGGAGAATATTGATGAAAACAGAAAGAGGAATAATATTGATGACCAGGAAACAGGAAGGATGATGAGTGAACAAATGAATGTTGATGAGCATAGAAGAGGAAAAAATTATAAAAACAGAAGAGAAATATCACCACCGGCAAAAGAAGGAGGACAAACGAGAACAGGACTATAATTATCCATGAGCCGCTTAATTATCAGGCCCCGCGTCGCGCCGCGCCCTGCCCTGAGAAATTTAGCATCTCTAGTACCCCAGCCTCTTTGTCCCAAATAGTCGTACGTCACTCTGGAAGCTAGAACTGAGAGTTATATGTCGCCTGGCACACGTCCTTGAACATAAGCGGAAGAGGGGTTCTTTAACAAAACAAAAAAAAAAACGGGTCTCTCTGAGAAAGTGCGCCGGAAGTCGAACACAAACTCCCTTTTTTTGCTCACCACCTGGCTGACTGGGCCCAAATACTACGAAGTGGTCATCTTGTGCCAAGGCACAAAATAACCGGTCCGCCAATTCAGAATTATCTGTCCAACATCTAGGGGGCTGTATCTATACGGCGGGACCTGGGTCAGTTTAAAATAGGCTCCCCATTTTTGGGGCCCCAAGCCGGCGCCTAAATCGCACCATCATAGGGGGCCGACAAAAATGGCTGCAAAAGTGGCTCCATGGGCCGCGCACAAACTAGGCCCATCTGGCGCCAAAACTCGCGGCTCTCCACGCCGCTCTGCAGTGGCCAAAAAGTGCACCGCGCCATATTTGCGCCGCACCAAACCAGACATATGACGGCCCCTTCCAATCCGTCAAAGAATCCAAGACAGCCGCCAGGCACCATAACCGCCAGGCACCCCACCCCTGGAAATTGCGGCCCCGAAAATCCCCGGCCCCTGGAACTCTCATCCCCTCGAAACCGACATGCCCGGTACCTGCATACAGCCGCTCTTCCGGCCCCAGGCCCTGGGCCCCAAGGCCAGCCATCGCACCGCACCTCTTCTCCTCCGCCCCATGCTCACCAGACTAGCGTCCAAATTGCCCCGAGCCACACGCCATTTCGCCAGCATGTCTGTCAACCCCGAGGATTTCACCGTTGTCAAGGAGGGCAAGGCCACCATTTTGGCGCCCAAGGAGGACAAAGTCTTCTACAACCCGATCCAGCAGTTCAACCGCGACTTGTCGGTGATGGCCATCCGTGCGTGGCTGAATCAGTACCTAGAGTCCCGGGCCGGTGAGAAGGAGCTCCGGGGCAAGCGGCGGCGGCCCAATGGGGCGCGTGCAAGTGGCTCTGTGCAAGGAACGGCCGAAGGTGAAAAGGCCACGGAAGACGGCGCAGAGGGAGGAGACAAGGCGGCCGAAAGTCCCGCTGAAGTCGCCGGCACGGCCGGAAACGGCAACGAAGTGGCCGCAACTGCCGAAAAAATTGATGAAGTGGCTGCAACCGCCGCAAGACCCACCGAAACCTCTGCAAAACCCACCGAAACCTCTGCAAAACCCACCGAAACCTCTGCAAAACCCACCGAAACCTCTGCAAGCCCCGCCTCGCCCGCCCCAGCAACGCCCTACATGCGCATCCTCGAGGGCCTCTCCGCGACCGGGCTCCGCGCCGTGCGCTACGGCCACGAAATCCCCGGCGTGGCGCAGGTCGTGGCCAACGACTTGTTGCCCGAAGCCGTGCGCTCCATCAACCGCAGCGCTGCATACAACGGGCTCCAGGAAACCGTCGTGGGCCACCAGGGCGATGCCATCAAGTACATGGGCTCGCTCGCGGACGCCGACAGGTTCCACGTTGTGGACTTGGACCCCTACGGCACCGCGGCGCCGTTCCTCGACAGCGCCGTGCAGCTGGTGCGGGATCACGGGCTCCTCTTGGTCACGTGCACGGACGCCGGCGTGTTGGCCGGCAACGGGTACCCCGAGAAGTGCTTTGCGTTGTACGGCGGCAACAACTTGGGCAACACGCCCATGGGCCTGGAGCTGAACCACGAGGCCGGGCTCCGGCTCATGTTGGGCGCGATCGCCGCGGCCGCGGCGCGCTACAAGAAGTGCATCGAGCCGGTGTTGAGCTTGAGCATCGACTACTACTTCCGCGTGTTTGTGCGTGTGACCACCAGCCCGCTCCAGGTCAAGCGCTTGGCGCTGCAGACCATGCTTGCATACCACTGCGTAGGGTGTGGCGAGATCATCGAGCAGCGGCTCGGGCGCGTGGCGGACAAGCGGTTCCAGACGCCGCGTATCGCGGCCGTTCCGGGCGAAAACTGCCGTTTCTGCGCTCGGCCGTTCCACGTGGCGGGCCCGATGTGGGGCGGCCCGCTCCACGACGCGGCGTTCATCGACGAGGTGCTCCGCATCAACTCCGAGGCGTCTGCGGCGGTGTACGGCACGCGCGAGCGCATCAAGGGCATGCTTACATTGGCGCGCCACGAGTTGCCGCAGCCGTTCTATTTCAACTTGAACCAGCTCTGCAGCTTCATGAGGGCGCCGCCCGTGTCCATCGACGAGTTCACGCGGGCCGCGGGCAACTTGGGCCACCGTGTGTCGTTGACGCACGCCAAGAAGAACTGCGTCAAGACCGACGCGCCGTGGGAGCTGGTGCTCCAGATCATCGTGGCCTGGTTGCGCCGCAGCAACACGCGGCTCTTGGCCGAGCTGCGCGCGAGGTTGGCGGCGGAGACTTTCGACGACAAGAAGCTGAAGTTGCAGACCAAGATCGCCAGCCTCGAGGCCGACTTGGGCGCCAGTGCCAACTTGACCAACGGCATGGTGGGGGCCCGTATCTTGGAGACGGTGACGCCGAACGCGGCCGTGGACTTTGACACTGCCAACGAGCAGAGTGACTCCGTTGCACGCTTGCGCCGCTTGAAGATGGTGCGTTACCAGGAAAACCCGACCAAGGACTGGGGGCCCAAGTCGCGTCCGTCTAAGAAGTAGATGATGGCATGTTTGAAACGGGATTGGTGCTCATTGAGAGGCGCTAGAGGGGCATTGCATACAATGCGCCATCTACAGTGGTCCCGAGAGACAGACAACACCGTGCACCGAAGAAAAGAGACAGTGCAAATGGTCGAGTACAGGAAAGCGTGTGCTGATGGCCTAGTAGAAACGCCCGGTTGGTTTTGCGCAAGAGGGCTTGTGCAAAAGCTTACACAACCTTTATACAAGAGCTTGTACAAGGTCTCGTGTACAGTCGGTCTCATAAGAGACCTCGCTTCAAGAAAAGCATTTCTGAATATAGACCACAAATCAGATATTGTGCTTGTTTCTGCTAGACAGAGTAGAAACGACCGTTGATCGAACCAATCCCCATCAAAGAGACAAGAGCTGGACCCGAGAGCAATCGACTCTTGGCATGGCACAAAATATCCGATGCAATGATCGATTCTTTAGGGCTTTGAACTTTGGGCAAACAGCCCATAGATGAATAGCGGTTTCTGAAGACACAACTGTCGTACACCAATATATTAGTCGACTAGAGGGCTGATAAGGTGTTTTCGGTATGGCCCGATTGCTGAAAATTGGTGAAAGCTGGTGAGCTGAATCAAAGGCAATGAGCATAAGTCTAGAGGGACGGCCCCAATGAAAATCTACTTTCGATTGAATTGTAGACGCCATCATTGTAACTGAAAAAAAAATAGACAACACATGAAACAGGCCGCATAAAAGAATAAAAAACTCCGGTGCAAGAAACGGCTGAATGGACATCGAAAAACACCCAGCTCTCGGATTAGTTCAACACATCTTTGCAATGAAAGTTGAGCCGCCCATTCCGTCAAGTAAGACTATTTCTGAGACGAAAAGCAAGAGAAAGCTTGCATCACAACAGAGGATACCCGGCCAGATGCGAAAAAAAGATTGACACGAATGGACACGTTCCATTCAAGGGCAAACAGAGGATGGCCAATTGTTGCGAACAACTGAAGCCACGACAGGACCAGATGAAAACGTCCACAGCTCGGTAAGGGAGACGACGCCCTACAGTCTTTGGGGCAGTCAGTGAGAAGGGTGTTTTGAGGACACGGAAAGAGCACTGGCCACTTGCGGAGGAAGGAGGACGGTGACAAATACCGAAGGCGGAATGTCGAACCCGTGGTACACCATGTGGCTGACGCCAATGGAAAGAGTGCTGGCCGCCCGCAAACGAGAGCACGGCTCGGACAACACACTACAGGCAGACGCTCGGAAAAATATAAATATTATTTCTATACAACGAGGAAATTACAACAACATGGCAACACCGGCAGCAGCGGCGACACCGAAAACACCAGCACCAACCATTTGGGAGGCGCCGGCGGCAGCAGTGGAAGAGGTGCTGTTGGAGTGGTTGGAGCCGTTGGAGGAGTTGGCGGCGGAGACAGCAGAGGCAGCAGCCAAAGCGAGGACAATAGACTTGAGTTGCATTTTAACGAATGGGTTATTGATGGAAGAAAAAAAACACCCTGGCTCTTGGGGAGGGGCGGCTGCCGCGTATTTATATATTGAGCGGACTCATTACTTTTTTTTGGAATTATGGTATGCGCGCCCGCTGCATGTGACACGCCTCACCTTTTTCGGGCGCCGCCATGCACGTACCAGGCAGGACAAAAGAAAAGAAAAGAGTACGCCGAGCAATAGGCGCCGCACCCTGGCAGAACATACACGGGGCTTATTCGAGCACCCGTCTCCTGGCTAAGTAGCCAGTGGCCGCCAGCGTTTTTGGAAACACCAAGGTATTCACACAGTGGAGATTCCCTCGGATGTTTCCAGTCTTCGGTGCTGTGAGTTTCTTTTTCTTTTGTTGCTGCTGTAAATACTTGAGGACTCACACACGGGGCGGCGCTGGCCGCAGCTTCGCAGCCATACCATAGTCTGGCCCCGGTCTGCCATGCATGTGTAGAAAACAAAACCACAGGCGTTTCGTAGTATTCTAAAGCAAGCATGTTTGGAACTATCCGGAATCCCCCTGATTATGCGACATGTCATAATCTTTCCAGATGGCCTACTCGGTTCTTTCCGCAAGGACAGCGGGTATATAAAAGTGCACGGCCTTCCCGATTTATTCTGCCAGCGCTATTTTTGGTAGTGGCCTTTTTTTGCCTGACTCCATCATGACTTGAGTCATCTTCATATCTAAATACAGGTGTTCAGGAATTTGGATGTGAAAGAAACCAAGCGTTCCAGATCACGTGTTTGTGTGCCGCCCAAGAAAACACTGGTTTTGTGACCGATCCCGTGTACCAACTGACAGAGACAAGGGCAGATTCCTCCTTCCTCTCGCCTTGACTTATTGGAAGCCTTCAGCCAGAAAACACGATTCATATTGGACTCGGCGTTGGCCCTCTAGTATGAGCCGGTCAGTTAAACGGCTTGGCCGCACTCGAGGCTGTAAAAATTGGCCATGCATTGGGCCTTTTGTCATATGCTGCAAGTGATGGATTTCTCTAAATGCCCCGCGTATACTGGCGCTCTGCGGGACATTTCTCGGCAAGACACGTGTGTTATACAAACGGTTCGTGTGAAGCCGACACGAAAAACAAACTCTCTGCGCTTCTATACATCATTTCCTGCCGCGAAAAATCGAATGTGGTATGCGTTTGGTCAAATAACGGGGGATGCCGGAAAGAAGATCCTGCCAGTGCCCACTTTGTGGGGATGATCGTAGAGTGGCTCCTATATTTAGAAGCCGGGGAAGCAGGCTTAGGTAGCGCAAGTAACACGCGGGGCGTTTGGCGACGAATACAGGAAAAGCGTATTGTGACATGCAGTCCAAGGCGTGCCACACAGGCCCAGCCGCGTAGACTACCGCTGCGGGGGGCGGCGACAGTCGTCGCAAGCGAAGAGCACTTCTTGACTAAACAATCCATGCAAACCCGTGTGTCTATGCCGACAAAGCGAACTCACCAATTCCCTGCGCCCTCTTTCATTTTCACACACCTTCTCCCAGGCCACGGCCGCCGTTGACTAGTGTGCAGGATGTACACGGAGGACCGTCCCTTGGCAAAACTGCCCCCACGTATCGTACGAGTTTTGGCTGTTGAAGGATAGATCTTTTGTTCACTGGTTGTGCTCCACGCTTTAAGCTAGATGCATCCGCCTGTTCTGCTCGGTAATTTTTTGATGTCTAGTGCGGACCCCTTGCAGGACCCCATGGATTACGAAGCCTCGGAGGCTCGCAAGCTAGAGCCTCGAGTACTTAAGCCTCAGGCCCCAGTTCTGAGCACGCCCCAAGGCATATGCAGACCACCTCTTTAAAAGGACCTACTCTGATGCTCTTTTGCAGCTCACGTATATTAAGGAGTCAAGTTAAGCGGACCAGACTTTTTCAGCGGGTTCAGAAAAAACTGTGGCTGCCCAAAACCGTGGTTCGTACCGTGGTGCAGACTCTTGGCAAAACGCGTACACAGGCCTGGTTTTACGAGATGAAAAATCAGGTCTCAGGAACGCGTCTGCCCAATCGGGAATAAATAGCACTGGGTCAGCAGAGAACAGACCTTGATCAGAAGCGAGATGATACATCCGACATGATACATCGAGAAAACTTATAAACAATAGGAGAAAAGGAAAGTTTGTGAGGGACTCGCAACCCCTCTCTCTTGCAATTCTTTGCTTGGGTAGAACGGCGTTCTTCAAAGGACTTTGCGAACCCGGGTCGCGCGACTCATGGCCCCCAATTAACAACTGAAAAAGGCAACCAGGAATTCTCCGGTGGGAGTTCAAGATTCCAATTGATCGGCTGTCAGGAAAACCTTGGTGACGTACTCGAGAGAGTCCAAAAAAGCTGTACTCCTTGCTATCTAAAGCGAGTCCAAACAGTCACCAACACGAGGTGTGCATAGTGACCTAGGCCAGGCCCTCTGCACTGTCTTTGACGATCTCTGTGCAAGATTTCGTATCTGCAAATGAACCTGCTCAGAATCAAAGACCTCCAAAGGCTAGCAACACACTGCGGCTATCGGACGGACGTAAGTAAACTGGGCCGTATAGCTGCCATTGCCGAGACCGGCGCTTTTTTCGAACGCGTCTTGGGCAACAGGCCCAATGAATCTCTTGATGTTCTTTCAGTCGACGTCGGGCTCAAGAACTTCTCCTATAGTAAGGTCTCGTACCAGCAAAACACCGCTGATATCAAGGAGTGGGCCGTCGTGAACCTCCACTCCAAATATGGCACCCCCGAGTACATCGACGAGGGCTCTTTGGTCGACCTGAAAGCGTACATGGCCAAGTTGGCTGTTAGCGTCGTAGACAACGTGCTCATATCCAGCCTGTGGGTTCCCAAAATCATCACCATCGAGAACCAAAGAACCAGGTCCAACTCGAGCAAGGCCACACTACCCAATGTCCTTTTGAATTTCACGTTCGAACACATGTTATATGCTGCCTTTGTGGCACGGCAAACCACCAACCCAGCGTACGAATCCCTGGTGGTGATGCCCATGAACGCCAACAAAATGGTCAGTTTCTGGCTCTCGCGCTATATCGCCAAAGGGTGCCCCTACTCGCCCTCGCGGTCCAAAACATATCGTAAAAACATGTTGTATGGGTGGCTTAAAGCACCCCACATCGCCCCCTTTGATATCTCTTCGTTTACCAACTTGTTGCCCGCGGACTTCCCGTCCATGGGCACGAATTTGCTGAACACCTCGCTTAGGCTGGCGTTGAATATCGAGCACAAGGGCGCGAAGGTCGATGATTTGGTAGATAGCTTGCTCTACAATCTCAGCATTGCCAGACAGATCTTCCACCACCAGGAGATCCAGACCCTCGCTGCCGCCCACGACAAAGATGGAATTCTCGCGAGGCTCGAGCAATGGGATGTGGAGCATCTCAAGTTCATCGAGCCGGTGTTGAATAGTAGTGATCTCTTCCTCGCCACGGAGTACCAGGATCATGTGTCCAAGAGCTAATGGCCAGCCTTCATATATAATATAGCATCATATACAACAATCTTGACTTCTTCACGCATGAGCTCTGCAAATGTCTCGCATTCTTTCAGGCATCAATGACAGGCAGTTATTCACTGAACGGTCCGGTGCATGATCATCTTTGGGCAAACTTCTAATCCTTTTGACGCAAATCCGGGCCTTTCTCTTCTTCCTCGTCGGCAGGGCCAAAAACGCCATCGTCGGCGTCTCGAGATTTGCTCCCAGTGTCACACTGTTCACCACTATTATCATTGTCGTCGTCATCGTCATCATCGTCATCGTCGTCATCGTCATCATCGTCGTCATCGTCGTCATCATCTTCTTCATCATCATCGTGATTCTTATCTTCGTCATCTTCGTCGCCATCTTCATCATCCCTTTCGTCAAGTGACAAAGGCACTCCCTCCACCGCCTGTCTCTCTGCAAAAATCGCCTTGATTCTTTTTCTCATAGTGTCCACGATATCCAGCCATTCCCTCATGCCACCCATGCCGATGTCTCCACAAACCAAGACCTTTTCGACGGGTTTCAAGATTTCCATTCCAAACCCTTCTTCGTTTGACGCTAGGACCTTCAACTGCTTGCTAGTCAACGGGTGTGTATACATGAACGTGTTCATTGCGGGTGCAACTAAGACAGGCTTTGTCGGAGCAGATACTCCCCCAACACCCTGTAGCACACCCCAGGACCTCACTATGGACGTGAGCAAGTTGTCCGATATTCCGTTGGCGATTTTGGCTAGAGTGTTGGCGCTGAGGGGGGCCAAGAGCATGATATCTGCCCATTTACGCAACTCATTATGCAAAATCGTCCTTTCGTGCGGGTTCTTTTGCTTCTTGAGCTCGCCGGTGGACAGCACGGGTGCTGGGTTCAAGTTCCACTCTAGGAAATTGGCCCACTCGTCCTCGTCTCTCCAGATCTTGACGTCCTTCCGTATCTTCAACCCCCTTAGGAAGTGGCCCGCGCACTTGGTGACGACCAACTGGACCGAGATCTTGCTAGTTCCGAAGATCTGGAAGAGCCTGTCGATAATCAACGGGACCTTGATTGTGGCAACACTGCCAGTACAGGCCAACAAGATATGGACTTTCTTGTCGTCCTCCTTCAACAAGAACTGCTGGAAAGGGACAGGCGGGCCCACGGGAGACGCAACGAGCGTTTTGATGGAGCTTTTTGTTTGGGAGTTCTTGCGCAGGATCGCAATCGGCTGGGAGCCCGCGTCGGAGCCTTGTCTGGAGCTGCGCGCAGACCACGTGGGCGCGATATCGGACGGGAAGGACGAGTGGGCGTTGCCGGGGATGGGCGAAGTCATGAACGAGGCGCCGGCGGAGGACACGGTGGACTTCGAGGGGGGCGGGGGCGAGGGCGAGAAGCGCGAGTCTAGACTGAACGGCTGGGCCAGGAGCGGCGAGTCTGCCAGGAGCGGGCTGTCGATGCGGGGCGCGGTGGACGCGGCAGCGCCGTCCGTCCTGGCGGCGACTTGGAACGCGAGCGCCGAGCCGGACCTGCTGGGCGCAGTGTTGTTTTCGGTCACGGACGTCTTTCTCAGCGGCGGCGTGTGGAACGAGCCCTGGCGGCTGGCGGGCGTCAAGTTGCCGCTCAGCGGCTGGGCCGAGATGGTGAAGCGGCGGCTTTTCTCGGACACGTCGGGGTCGCAGAACGACACGGACTGGCCCCGGGCCCGGTTGTCGCTGAGGAGAACCGTGTTGGCGGGGCGCACGGGCGTGGGGAGGAGGCACGAGGGCGTCGCGGGGCTGGCGGGCGCGTCTCGCTGCTGGTAGAGAGCCAGTCTGGGAGGGCCTGCCGGCTGCAGAATGGGGTCCGTGTTGCTGGTGTGGGGCGAGATGCTCTCGAAGTACGCGGGCAGCTCGTGGCCGCCGGTGTTTTTGGTGGTGATGAAGCCCTTTTGCAGCGGGTCGAGCAAGTGCGAGGGCACGGCCGCGATGTTGAGCCTCAGGAGATAGGGCTGTGTTTTGGCCGGGGGGTGTGTGGCGGGCGCCGGCGGGAACGACACCGGAGCTTCCGCCGGGTGGGTGGCGCTCCGGGGCAGGCCGGCGCGGGCCGGCGCGGGGGGCGACGCCGGGGCGGCTGTGTGTTTTTGTGTGTGGCTGGCGTCCATTTTGTGGCAGTGGTTTTGATGTTTCGGCAGGTCGAGAGGTGCACCGGCTATGCGGGGGTCGGTGTGGCTGCTTCCTGTGAGATCCGGGATCGGAGCCGGAGCTGTGGAGCGGGGGTTATGAAGCGGGAGTTATGGAGCGGGAGTTGACAAGTCGGGGTTGACGAGTCAGGGCGACGTTGCAAGTTTGAGGGTGAAGCTCAAAGATGTGAGGTCGGGATGGACAGGAGGCTGTGGGATCGAAGTTGACAAGGTCGAAAAGTTGACAGTTGTGGCGATGTTGTAAGATCGAAGGCGGGACCTGAATCTGGAATGGGCAAGATCCAGGGTGGGGTCTCCGAGATCTTAAGTTGAACTTGAGACCGAAGCTGTAAATCCAGAATGGGCAGATCCAAGGTGATTCTCGAAGATCTTAGGTTGAAGTTGAGACCGAAGCTGTAAATCCAG